GATTATGTTTGATCACTTCTCGCAGACCTGGCTTGAAAAAGTTAGAGTTTTTCTTCCCGTCTCCCCAGATCTGCCGTCTGTCCTCAGCATCTGTTAGGGAGTAATGTCTTTTGATGTGTGTGGGGAAATATAAAAAATGGAACCACAGCCTGTCATATTTACTTATATTACCAGGTCCCAGGGAAAGCACTTGCTCCTTTCAGTATGCCTGCAGCATAGGCAGGGTTTAAAAGCTTCAGCCTGGAATGCAGAGGGGCCATCAAACTGCACTGATGAATAAATGATTAAAACCAGAGTCATGCAGAGCGCAAACAGTTTGGGGTTATAACAAACATGAGACGAAGCCACCAAGGGCCCAATTTCCCTTTGAAGAGAAGAATGTTTCTCTTTCTCTGCATATTGCTCGTGAAGGATTCACAGCTCGGGCCTTAGCAGAGAGCAGAGCTCTCCCCTTGATGCTCTCTGTGGTGGTTGCACTGGGCCAGCACTGGGCTGGCAGCCAAACACAGCTGCTCGCTTGCTCCCACCCCACCAAGGGGATAGGGGAGAGAAGTGGGGGGCAAGGGAAAGGAGACTCGTAGTGTGAGATCAGATAGGAGATGGAACAGCCCCTTGGCAGAGCTCAATGCCCATGGAGCTTATCCATGTCAATATTCCTCACCCCTGAGATCTTGCGCTTGCAGACGGACAAACACAAAGTCCTTCAATTTCCAGTGACAAATGCAAACATCACTGTGGTATTAATGTTTCTCTCCTAACAAATCCCAGCTGAACCCAAACCCCAGTGATGTTCCAGCTGCTGGAAACAACCCAGTTCTGGTCCAGCTCACACCAAGACACTTTCCCATCTCACGTTGTGCCTGTCCGCCTTTGTCGGGGATAGACCAATGTCGGACGTGGGTGCGTGGTCCTACCATCCCCTCGGTGTTTCTGTAGAGGTCTGGGAGTTTCCTCTCCTCGCTGTGAGGCACAGGGTCTCACCTAACAAGGAGCTGGTTTGGCTGCAGCTGCATTGCTGCCTGTTGCTCTCCCAGATGCTCTGAAAATTGCAGGCAGCCCTTTTCCTCAGCGGCAGCGCTATCTGCACGACAGCGATCGATGCAGAACACAAACCCATCTCCCTGATCAAAAGAGAAGTAAAGGGATGATTTAACCTTGTGTTAGGAGTATTGTTACTTTTGAAAAGGTTTTAAAAATTCAATAACAACTGAAAATGATACAATAATTTTATAGAAGAAAGTGGCTGTTGGATCTGTCAATAGAGGCAGCAGCATGAGCTGTCTGTTATCTGTTTGTGGGCTGGTGGGGAAAATCTGTGCTCTGCTTCACAGAGTCCCAGAATGGCCTCAATTGGAAAAGCCCTTTAAGATCATCAAGTCCAACCATGAACCCAACACTGACAAGTCCCCTATGACTAACCCATGTCCCTCAGCACTGTGTCTACACGACTCTTCAATCCCTCCAGGGATGGGGACTCCACCACTGCCCTGGGCAACCCCTTCCAATGCCTCAGAACCCTTGCAGCAAAGAAATTCTTCCTCACATCCCATCCCAACTGCCCTCAGTGCAACTTGAGGCCATTTCCTCTTGTCTTATTCACTTCTTTTTCAACTTTTAAGCATTTTTGCCTGCACATTATCTGGCTGCTTTTGAGAGTCCTGGATCAGGCAAAGTCTTGCAAGATTTAGCATACAAATGGTTATTGCCACTTGCTCTTTTTTTTTCTCCTCATTAGAAGGTGCTGAGATGTTGGTGGATTTGGTGTTTTCTGTCTAGTTTACAGCATTGCATGTCTCTGTCTGAAGGTGAGGCCTTCTTGTCTTTTCTCCTCTGCGTTTACATCTCTTGCTTCAAGTGATCTTAGCAGATCTGGAGGCTGGTTGGGAAGGTTGCTGTATGGAACCTTCCATCTCTTGGAGCAGTTTGCATGTTCCTCTGTCCTCATTCCCCATCATGCTGTCTGCGCTGGAAGAAACACGTGGGAAAAATCTTACAGCTGTGTCTCACTGGGCTTGTTTTGTACCCACTGGTGTAATTTTCTCCTCTTTTTTGGGGTGTTTTTTTTTTTTTTTTCATTTACTGATGACAAAATCCTACTGGCTCTGATATGCTTTTGTGGAGTGGGAGGGGAAGCAAATCAGGAATGTCAGGCTGATGGGAAGGCTCTTGGGAACAGGAGGTCTCCCACTCCTTTGCTGGCTCAGGCAAACCCTCTCCTCTAAGCCTGCCCTGGGCTTTCACTGCTGTTATTGCTGATAGGAAGCTGTTCCCACTCTTGCTTTCTTGCAGTTAGAAACTTTTTATTTCTAGCCCTTTTTTATCTTAAAAGGAATCTTGGTCCATCTCCTGAACACCTGCCATTGGGAGATTGCTGCTTCGCTTGTGTCCGGTGGGTGCTTGGTGCAAAGTCCAGCAGCTGTGGTACACAGTGCTGTGTTTGCCTCCAGAATCCATGGCTTTCTAAAAGCACTGGAAGTGCTGAGGTATCAGGTGAGCAAAATAAAATGAAATGATGGGCTGCTGATACCCTGTCCACAGGTGATTGATGTGGTGAGGGTGACACACGGGATAACAGAGAGGGGGAGATAGATTGATTGTGCTGCTCTAAGGCTGACGGTGTCAGAGGATGCTGTGTGCTGGAAGGGCAAAGCTGGCCTCTTGCTACCAGCCTGTCCAAGCCCCAGGATTGATTGATTAGTCCCAGGTAATGAGACTTTCCCTCTTTCAAACCATGAAGTTAGAGTTATAAAACAGAAATAGCTGTTACAGCTGGCTGGGCAGTGACAAGCCCTCCGGACGGCACGAGGTCTGTGGAGGGCTTGGGGCTGCCAGCTCTGTACCACGGCTCGGTGCTTAGTACAGTTCAAACACAGGGGTGGGATCCAGATTTGGCTGAGCAGGAGCAGAGCAGGTGGAGATGTTTGGCTGTCAGCAGATCACCCCGGCAGCTGGTGGCACAAATCCAAAGGCAGCTGCTTATCTTCAGGAAAGGGGCTGTTGCTGGGGCCAGTCAGACTGACACAGAAAAAAGCTGCTCCTGTGACTGGAGTGGTGGTTGGGAGGATTTTCTCTGGGCAGGAGCTGAGCAGGCATGCAAGGACAGGGGACTCGAGGGTGCAAGAAGGATCTACTGTGTTTTGGACTGATGGTTTTGTTTTGGTTTGGGTTTTTTTTCAAATCCAATTCCATGTGAAAATAACTCTGCTGCATGGCCAGACTGGAAATCTGCCTGCACTCCCCACAGCTGCTCTGGACTTGTGAAAGCAAAAAAATAATAATAATAATAAAAAAAAAAAATCACACAGCAAAGATTGAACAGCCCCTCACATCTGTCTCCCTTCAGTTCTTTCAGCTCAGTCCTGAGCCCTGCTTGCCATCACGCCTCTCCCTGCCCCAGGCAGCGGCTCTGAGAGCACCAGGCTGCGGAGAGCAGGTCCGTGCATTCAGCCTCTGGCTGTGGAGAGGTTCTTCTCCATCCTGCTGGGAAAAAATATTAGGGGGGTTGAAGAGGGAAGAGAGGCTGGGAGGAGTATGGGAGGGGTTAGATCCTTCTAAATGCAATTTTGCCTATTCCAGCTTGTTTTAGGGATCATGCTGGTAGGTGGGATTTCTGCAAAGGAATGTGATGTTCCCTCTCCAGGTGTGTCACCCATCGGTCTGGGCCAGGCTTGTTCCTCCTCTGCTTTCCCTGATGCTGAGGGGATCTTGCAGCGCTCGTGTCCCAGCTCCTCAGGCATCTGAGGAGTTTCCACCTTCTGCATTTGTCTCACCCCATCGAGGACCATCTCTGGGCTGGGAGGCACCATGAACTCCCTTCTGTTTGGTGGGACAATGCCTTTGTCGGATATGTCCTGCTCTAGTAAGAGTAACAACGTGGTGTGAAGAGGGGTTTTTTTTTTTAGGAGCTGATTGTTCTGAAGCAGTGGAGTGAGAGACCTGGGGGGAGGCAGCGCCGACGCAGCGAAGTAGAAAGTAATGAAATGGAGCCTGAGCGAGCAGGACAGAGGGGAAGGGGGCAGAGTGACAGCATGAAGGAGAATCACTTGTTCACCTTCAATCAATTCCTGCTTTTTCTGGCCGTCGCACGTGCCTGTGTGCAGCTGAGCGTGCGCGGGCAGGGAGGAGGGAGGCGGCGTGCATTGTCAGGAGCTGTTAGGAAATACATTTGTCAACAACAGGGCAGGGACCAGAGCGAAAGGAAAGAAGCAGCCATCACCCTAACCTCTTATTTATTGATGGCTTTGGATTGTTCCTGTCTTGGGAAGAGCTTACCTAGGGGGAAGAGTGGTGAGGTGTGGGAGGAATGGGCCAAATTGCAATATTTATGGTTCTTACCCGTTGTTAATGGGTTGTCAGGCATTGGAAGGGGTTGGCCAGGGCAGTGGTGGAGTCCCCATCCCTGGAGGGATTGGAAAGTCGTGTAGACACAGTGCTGAGGGACATGGGTTAGTCGGGGACTGGTCAGTGTTGGGTTCATGATTGGACTCCATGATCTTTAAGGACTCTTCCAACCAAAATGGTTCTGATTCTCTGGTGTCTCCTGGGTGCAGCTGTTTGACCTGCAGCTTCACTGGGAGTGAAGGCAGGTGGGCGATCCATTGGTGGGGTGAGGGTGTTGGATATTGTGCTTTGGGCAATAATGGGTGTGATGAAGGTTGGGAGCCGTTGTTCTGGACATGGATACGATGTGCACAACAGGCTTCCAGTTGTTTTTGTATCTTCCAGAAGCCTTTGATAGCAGAGGTTTGACTGTTTGTGAGCAACCCAGAGCGTGACTTTGCTTTGGACAAGCCTGTTGCACTCCTGTACCTCAGTTTCCCCTTGCACCATACAAAGGAGCAGTGGTGGGGCTCACTGCCCCATGAGGTGTTTGCAGAGGCCTCACTTGTGAACCTCTTCAGGGGTGCTGAGGAGTTAGTGCTGACAGCGCTGGCGATCACTTCCCTCTCCACTTTACCTTGAGGTGTGTTTTTATACGTGGATGTTCCCTTCTGTTCTAGGTCTGGAAGAAGTTCCTAAGCTCTGAAGCTCCCCGTGTCAATGTCTTCATGGCAGTGCCCACTATCTATGCCAAGCTGATAGAATACTACGACCAGCATTTCTTTCAGCCACCAGTCCAGGATTTTGTGCGTGCCTTTTGTCAGGAGAACATCAGGTAGGTGAGCGATGCCACTCTGGGGCAGGGGCTGCTGGTGGTTGACTGTCCACACAGTGGATCTTCTGAGGTTTCTTTTCAGATTCACCTCTTCACAGTGCTGGTTGTTGTGCTTTGGTGTCTCTTTGACAAGAACCACGGTGACATTATTTAATTATGAGCCACTCTTGCATGGTAAAGCCAGAAGGGATCTGCATACTCACTATAGATGTCATCCTACATAACACAAGACTACATGGTAAAGCCAGAAGGGATCTGCATACTCATATATGTCATTCTACATAACACAAGACTGAGGACTTTGTCCTGCAACCCAAGGTTGTACTGCAGGATCTCTTTTAGGAAGCTGTCCCATCTTAAATTAAAACCCATATCAAACAAAGAGTCTTCTTTATGCCAAGAACATCCTTGGTAATGATTGAAAGGCTTTTGGACCTTCTATCTGAAGGTTTTTATGTAGGATCAGGTTTTATATAACCCTGTGTTAGACTGCAAATTCCCTGGAGCAAAGATGATCTCGGATATTTTCTTATATGGGCTTTCCCTGTGCAGGTTAATGGTGTCAGGCTCAGCAGCTCTGCCCGTGCCTGTCCTGGAGAAGTGGAAGAGCATCACTGGGCACACGTTGCTGGAGAGGTATGGGATGACTGAGATTGGGATGGCGCTTTCTAACCCTTTGCATGGAGTCCGTGTCCCAGGTAGGAGTCTCTAGAGGGTGCCCACTGTTGGGAGGCGTTTGGCTGTAAAGTGTTCTTGGTTTTTTCTCATCCCAGAGAGTTTACATCTAATCACCATATGCCATGGCTGAGGAGCAGACTACAGTAGGAACAATGATACTGGTTGGGGAGTTGGCATATTGACCATGACGTGATATGAGATGGAATATCCCATTGGCAGAGCCAAATGCCAATTTAGCTTATTAACTGAAATATTCCTCACCCCCTGAGATCTTGCAGACTAACAAAACACAAAGTCCTTCACAAACCGTCAAAAATGCAAACATTGGGACTCAGCGTTTCTCTCCTAACAAATCCCAGCTGAAACCAACCCCCGGCCCTGTTCTAGCTGCTGAAAAGAAACCCAGCTCTGGCCCAGCTAAAAACCAGGACAGAAGTGGCTGGTGGCTTTCTCTGGGATCACTGGCCATGGTGGATTGGCAAAGCTGTGGGTGCAGAGCTCGCAGTGATACACACTGACCTGACCAGCCTGGCTGGTTCTGTACAGGAGGCAGAGTCCATATTGGTTCTTTATTATCTCCAAAGTCTTAGTTCAGGCACTGTGGTGGGACTGCATCTTCAGCTCCTGTTCTGTGAAGTTGTATTCGTGTGTGGTGTTGATTCCCCACGCAGCAGTTCATGCCCAGCTGATCAGTACTAAACGTTTAAAATAGGATGTCTGCTCACTCTTATTTTAGTGCAAGTTTCTCCACTCTTCAGGAGTTAGAAATTGTCACACCTTGTTGCACACTCTGGTTCTGTTCTCTCCTTGTCTCCCCTCCCTTCTCTTAGCTACACGTTGTGACTCCTCTCAATATCTGTAGTTTATGTAACCGAGAAATAAATTGATCTGAAACATTAAAAATATGAAATGCCCCCACCCTCCCTTCGGTTAAAACGTGGCCATCTGTCTGCTAAGCAACAACCCACCACTACACCCCCTTCTCCTCCCCACATGCTGTCTGCACATGCACGACACCGTGTGCCTCGTCTTGGTCTCCAGTGTCTTGGGGGACCTGTGTTACTTGGGGGACTCTGTCCTGGGTGTCGTGGCTTCCCACAGCACCCCAGTCCCACCCCAGTGCTCCTGCAGGGATTGCACAGGGAGAGGGGATGCCACAGCTCCTCCACACTGGCTCCTCAATCTGAGAACAGCTCAGGGGGAGCATGAAATACAAACTCAAGTTTTACTTTTTCAGAGGAACTGTTGTTCCCCTGCCCCAGCTCAGCCAGTGTTCCCCTCCTCCAGAAGCCACATCCCTGCAGGCAGGAGAGGGAAGCAGACAAGGAAACGAGATTCCCACCTGCTTGAGCTGTCCAGGAGCCCAACGCTGCAGGATGATGGTGCAGAGATCATTTGAATGTCCTTGTGGCCTGGTTATATTTGATTTTCTTTCATCTTCAGGAGGGGAAATGAGTGGAGACTCTAGAAATCTCCCAGGAGAAAGGAAATAAGACTGAAAGTGACATGGGCAAAACAGATGTTGGCACCCAGAAGGGCAGCTCCTGCTCCAGAGCTGGGTGGCCGTGCTCTTGAACTGGGCTGGGTCAGAGTCCCTGAGGGTACTGGGGTCTGCAGGGGAGCTGGGGACAAGTCCCCTCATGCAGCTGGAAGCAGAGGGGCTGGGGATAAAGGCTGGGTGACTGTCACTCCAACCACCATCCAGGGACTGCAGCCCTGAGAGGGGAGAGAAGCATCTCACCAAGGTGTGGATCAGTAAGAGACCTTACAGAAAGAATGCTGTAATGGAATAGGCTTGATTAATTTATTTTGATTACTTTATTTCAGGAAGTGTCAGTTGGGAAGCAGGTGGGTGAAGCTGAGACATAATTGACTGGAGCTGTGAAAAAGCTTTTGATACAGTACCCAGTTAGAGGCTGGGATGTAAGGACACCAGGTACCACAGAGCATCCGGAGTGAGAGAGTCAACTGAGAGTCAAATGCAGTGATGGGCTGGGAACAGAGGCTGGGCAGGAGGAGAAGTGAAGTGTCCAGAGAAAATGCCTCAGACAGCACTGGTGTTACAGGGACAGATGCTAGGCAGTGGTGGCCACAGACCCACGTGCTGGCCAAAGTGATTACTAGCTTTCTTTTGAAAGAGGAGTCCACAAGTATGACACTTGAGTCCTTAGGTAAGTCCAGGGATCCTCACACGTTCCAGGGGATTTCTCCTGGAGTGGCAGCAGCACATGTTCTTCTCTCCTGCTTCATGAGCCTCTGAGGAGAGGTCCTGAGGCTTCCCTCGCCCGCTTACACCCCTTGGTGTGGCTGGGGAAGGGTCAAGTCCTTGGCACCTACCTGTTCTGCCCATGTCACCACTGATGTCCCTGGCTGTGTGGCACTACTCTTCACCCACAACACAGATCTGAAGGAGCAGGGACCGGTGATGGGGCTTTAATTTTCAGAAGAAGAAAAGATGAAAGATAAATGTTTGCTTGTATATGGTTAAAACCCTGCTTAAAATGCCTCTGTTTTCAGCAGCTCTCATTCTAATCCCCCCGGTGCTGTTACTGTGAAGGGAGATGAATAATTCATGGATGGAGAATGCCTCACTGGGCCTAATCACCACTTTAATTGGAGGTTTAGATCAGAGGCAGCTAATAGCTCCTACAGCGGGGGGACTCCGTGTATTGTTGACAGTGAGATCGTTGAGTGCCTTATCGTTGGCCTGTTTCAATTCTCACAGGACACCACCACACATAACAGCATCGAGGTCCCCAGATACCGAAGGACACAGACCGCAGGGCCAATTAAATTTATCTGGGAAGAGCTGACAACTTTTTTAAACAGAGAGGAGAACCAGTGAAAGAATAATAGTGTCACTCCTTCCTGACTGATGCCGGCTGAGCTGACACCGCCGGCGTCTTGCCAGCATTTCTGAACATTCAGGAGCCTGCAAATTGGAGAGAGCTGGGAGGGAGTGAGAGGGGAAGGAGCAGGGATTTCTCCCCAGTTTCCCTTTGGGATTATGGCTAGGGGGGGACAAAAGGAAGCCAGTGCTGAGTGTCAACCCCCTTCTGATCACCCCTGATTGCTGTCTGGGTGAAGCCAGGACCTCCAGTGCTGTTCCTTTGGGAACGAGCTCAGCCTTCTGCTGACCTGTTGGAGTGGGCACGGTGTGTATCTTGACATGGCAGATGGGCCTGAGAAGCTCTAGTCGTTGTCTTTGTGCAAATTGTATGAATCCTGTCAGGTTTGTGTAGCTCTAATCAATGGTGTGAGCATTTTCAGCCTTTACAGATGTTGATTTCCAAGTTTGTCATTTTTCCTCAATACCAGAAAGTCTTTTCCAGACGGAATAGAAGGAAACAGCTCCCCACGAGGGATTTATTTTACATGTTGGTTTTACTTTAGGCAAGTAGGAAATCATTTGTACCGGTGATCTGAAACCCTGTATGGGAAACACGTTGCTTTCTCTGTGTCTTCAGATCTGTTTGACAGCGCTGATCTTTGGCATTTCATTCTCAAAGCCTGTGACTAGAAGTGGGCACTAATCTTCAGTCCTTCTGCCCAGGAATCCATGATATTTCTGCACGGAGGTCAATAGCATGCATACAGGGAAGAAGCCTCTTCCAGGAAGACATCCATCTCATCTTGATTGAAGGTTTCCAGAGCTGGCAGATCTGTGAGAGCCCACGGCAGTTTGTTGCACTGGTTACTGCTCCCTCCATGAGCTTTGCAAGAGTGGCTTTGTGTTGTCTGCCCGCTGTCCCTTGCCACGTCTGGCAAGCAGGTTGGAAGCTGTTGGCACAAGACTTCTGTCATACTGGAGAAAATGTTCCCATAGAAGTCTAGAAGATGGCTTCGAGCAAGCTTGGTGTGCAAACATTTGGCATGTTTTCTATGATTTGTAACTTTCTGAGTCCTCCTGGAGCTTACCATGGCAGGTACCAGACTGTTTAAAATACATAAATAACCCTACGTGGCACGTCAGGGCCCTTCTCCTGGTGACTTGTCCTGGCGTCTACTTCTCCCTCCATACTCTGTCCTCTGTCTCTAACTCCTGGCAGTGTCTGGCCCTGGGATTAGAGCAGCCCAAGAGATGCTCATGGTAAGAGAAGGACCTGGCTGCGTGTTGACTGACCTGAATGCTGAAGGCAGTTTCCAACTGAACAGACACACATCACAGAACTGCCACGTCGCTTGCTGTTTATTTCTTGCCAGATTTGCTAATTGTTCGGGTAGTTTCGCTGCAATAAAAATCTCACTCCCTCGTAGCCCATCTGCTCTTAGCTGATCCTGCAGGGATGCCATAAATCTGGGCTACGACGACACATCTATTTCCATGGCAACTGACCAATGTAGCAAACAAAATCATGATGTCACAGATATCAAATCTCCAGGGCTTGAACAGGAGAGTGAGACCAGGGTAGGGAAAATGCCACTTGAACCCAAAATACAGACAACAAGAGGGAGACAGCACTGAGCTCCAGGTCCTGCTCTAAGGACTTTCCAATCTCATGCTGATCCTAGCAGAGCTAGAAAGCATCACCAACTGGAGATTCTCCAGGGGAAACACTGATTGTCTCTTAAAATAAAGAGTACACTTACTGATTTAAGCTCAAACCTGTCCGGTCCTCCTGAGCCACAGGTTGCTCCATGCTGATGTCCTTCTCTGTGCTCACAGGGGATGAAAGTCACGGGCATCATCTTGCAATGAGAGCTGTCTCGTGCCGGTGAGATGCAGAGTGAAACCTGCTGAGCCAGCAGATGCCCACGACTCCTGGTTGCTGCTGAGCCTGGAGCTCCCTATCAGACAGAGGTCACAGGAACAAAGCTGCCCTTTCTTCTACGCTTTCAGATGCTCACCAAGAAGAACATGCATGAAACCAAGGGCTGGGAGTGCTCCAGGCTGCAGGTTGGAGAACTCTGGGTCACAGGACCATCTTGGAGCTTAATAGCGGTTGTTTGTGACACTGTGTCACATTCCCTGGCTTTGAAAATTGAAACCTGTGGGAGAACGATGTGGTTTTGATCTCTGCTTTTCTCCTGTGATGTTTTATATAGAGTGGATTGATGTCTCATAAAACTGAGATAATCCCTCGCAATTCTCACGCTGTTAAGCCTTTGCCTTCTCTGGCAGGTCCGGGCTATAGAGAAGCAGCAAGCCACTGTAGCAATCATCACACTCTTTTTTCTTTCTTTTCACATCTTTTGTAGGTTTCATGGGGGTTTTTTTAGAAGACAGCTTCATTACTGAGCTATGAAGCTGTGCTGATGTCTTCAAAGACTGGCCAAAAGAGACTGTTCAGGGCTGGAGACACATTTGTTTTCCTAGGCTTTTCCAACACTGCCTGCTCAGTGAACAACAGCATATTGCATGGCAGTGACATTTGCACGCAGACATACAATGTGATCGAAGCCTTCCTGAAGGGTAACCCCCTGCTAGGAAGTTCTTCAGTGCCAGCACAGCCTGCAGATGCCGTTGATAGACGAGCAGCTGCTCTTTCGCATCCTTGATTTTGTTGTTTCCCAGAGGCTGTCCACAGTTTCACTCTTGTTTTCTTTCACAGGTTCTGTGGGAACCCCTCTGCCAGGCGTGGAAGTGCGCATTGCCACCAAGACCTTGAAAAATGGTGCTCATTCCTACACCATCCACGCTCAGGGAGATGAAGGCAGCACACAGGTAGTGCTCAGCCACGTTCTCTGCTGCTTTGTGGTGTCTCATGAAAAGTTTTCTCCTCCCCAGCCCTTTGAAGCCCCAGGGATTGAGGTTTGCTCTATTCCCAGAAACTCAGTGATGCTATTTAGAGTTTTCTCTTTCTTTTTCTCATTTATGGTTTACTATAGCTATGGTACTTTATGGACTGCACAAGTGTTGTCCTTGCTGCAGGCATCCGAGAGGTGCATGGAGGTGGGAGGTGAAGGCTGTGGTGTAAGGGCTGTGGTTTAAGAAGGTGATTCTGTGTCTGTCAAGGCTGTTGATGCCCCAAGACAAGGTGATGGGTTAAGCAATGCCTGACCTTTGAAAGCCAGGATAAAAAGTTGAAGTCTACAGCAGAAGGTAAGAACAAGGCATTGATGGGAATCCAGAGGGACCCTACTGTGATCTAAAGAGTCACTAAATAGTCTGGAGGAGAGGATGAGCGCTGAAAAATCTAGAGATCTGTGTTTATTTCACCGGGTTTGATCAGGGTTTTAGCAGTTCGAGTTGGAAGGACAGGACTGGGGGCCTTGGCTGTTGCATTCATTTCGAAACAGCACATGGGGGAAACCCATCAGGCTTCCGTGAAAGTCCAGCTCCACGCTCAGCTCCAACCACTGAGAGGTGTCTGCACCAGCAGCTCTGGTAGCTCAGAAGTCAGGTATCAGGTGAAGCAGCCAGGCCTCTTTCCCCATGACCTGCTCCCATGTTGGGGTGCTGCATGCTCCCCACTGCAGAAGCAGCCCACAGCCCAAGCTCCAGGGTGTCCTGCTGCCTCAGCCCCTCTC